TTGTAATTTGTACATTTTGTACAGTAATTAAAGGGGTTAAAGCCAGTTGGCTGGCAGGGGAATGTCGGCAAGTGTTAGATCTGGATGGACAGTATCGAATTAAGTGAAATTTGGGAACGTTTGATTTAGAGGCTGAGATTCCTAAATCCCAGTCATGCAAAATGGACAAATTGTAAATCAACAGTTCATTTTACATTTGCATTTAGATTTTTTTTTACTTACAATTGAACATGGTGCAAAATGGGTTGCCAATTCACTACCAGCTAATTTTGCACTACTGGTCTTGACTAATTTCAACTTCAAGCATGAAGTTGTGGAAACAAATCTCTCCAGTTCAGTCTCATTTTGGTTCAGTTGGTAACATTCTTAATCTAACTTTCTATTGCTAGAAGCAATGTCCTACAGATGAAAAATTTAAACCAAGCTCCAAACGGACTTCAAAAATATCACGGCAAAAAATGAAGAGCTGAATGTTCTCTTGTGTCCTGGCCAACATTCTTTCCTCATGCAATCTGCAAATCATGTGTCATGCAACATTTATGCTGACATTTATTGACCTAAAAATTGTGATTCTTAAAATTTTACACAACCGTATTGAGCTACAATCTTGACTCAAATGTAAACCTCAGAAAAAAAAACTTATAGCTCGATTTCCTATGGATTCCATTTGAAAACCCCAGGAATTATCATTGGATACCCAAAAAACATTTGGAATTTCATGCTGGTAAATTGGATTCAAAATAATTTGATGAATTTAAAAGATTTCAGGTTTATTTGTGAAGTGAATCTAAAGCTAAAGAGCTGATTTTATGTTTCTACATAATATCAAACCAAAGGGCACAGGCCAGTTATTCTCCCAGTAAAGTACCAAAAGCCCTAGAGGTATGAATTGCTGCAATATAGAATCTCTATTAATAACTCAAAGAAATGAAAAATAAGGAAGGCTTTCTTCTAGAAAACAGATACACATGAAAACATAAATCCTGCTCTGCAGAAGGAATGTTTCTTTTAGCGATAACTAGTGTGTGTTTTTATTCAGATATTTACATAATATTATTGCTTTCCTGTAAACTTCATTGTTGGATAACTCATTTTACTGATGATTTTGCTGGCTTTTAGCATGCATAGCTACTATTCTGAGATCTCAGTGTGGAAACAGGATCCATAAATATTTTGTAAATAAATGCTTGATACAGTGAGTAGATGTCAGAAACTGTGAAATGAGGGCAATTGGCCTGTATGCTGTATACTTACTCCACTACAGCTTTGCAATTTTCTTCAGCCCTACATCCTACAAGACAGTTTCTACATTTCCAAGTCTACCCTGTTGTGGTAAGCGTTTTGCGTAGCACACAATATTGCCTTTACTTCACAGCCATCACATTATAAATTGACCCTTGTACTTTACTGCATTTCTCCACCACTCAGTATTTACCCCTTTGACTGTTCCTTCCATCACATGAAATATGTCAGTCCTTTAGTCCACAGGCTTTGAAAGAGGTACCCAATTGGCCCTATTCTCCTGTTCTTTCCTCCTTGGCCTTGGAACCTTTCTTAAGTATTAATCCCGTTCTGTTTTGAGTTATTCGTGAACCTGCTTCCACCGTTCTTTCAAGCAACAAATTTCATATCATGAACAATACACTGAGTAATAAAAGTTTACTTTCATCTTCCCTTCAGGTTCCTTGCCAATTATCTGAACTCTGGGTCCTTCGCTTGCTGATTATTCTCCTTACTTGCTCTGTTAGGTTTAATTTTATTTAATCTTTAAAAGATTTGTTTACTCCTGCCCTGCTTCCTGTCCACTACATCTCTGTAAAGTACTTAATGTTACACATAAAGCACTATTTTAATTTAAAATGTTGCAGTTCACAAACTTCCCTGCTTCCCAATCTGAATATTTGACTGGTGAATTCAAAGAAAAAATAAGTAAATTCGAAAAGATAACAGAAATTTAACAACTCAAAAATCAAAATAATTCATTAGCTGATGCATCAACTTCACAATTTTTTTTTGTGAATCTGCCAAATCCAACAGTCTGTACTAATGAAAGAACAATACATAACGATGGGCTTTCATTCAGTCATCCAGAGCATCCATCGCAGTAAAGTACAATAGAAGAAGCTCTCATATGTCTGGTCCCAATACCCAGGAAAGTACAAGAAATATTGCTTTTCATTTTCAGACAACATAAAGACTTCAAGGTGCAGTCATGTTACCAAATATGGGAGGAATACAAAGTAACTTAATTAAGGTTATCAGAGTACTCTAGCAAAGATGGAAAATGCTGAATTTATTCTTACCCCAAAAAACAGTTTCTTCATTGTAAACACTGACTACAGATTCAAACCAGCAAAATGAGACATATCTTTGCATGTCTCTTCCTTCTCCTTGAATCTTTGAAGATGGGGAATAAGTGAGACTGTGGCTGAATCCAAATGCAATGAAAATAGAGGCAGAGCAGTTAAGTGCCTCATATTTCTGTGGTACTGGAGCAGTGATCAGTGTCCTTCCTCCAAAATTAAAAGACCACTTTTATTTATGAGGTAAAGAACTTTTTGAAACTATACACGGAGGCACTAACAGCTTTATTATCTACCACAGGCTAATTGTCTCCTAATGACATTGTCAAACCTGGTAATTAGTAAGAAGATATGCTAGATCTGCTACTATCCAATGTCACAGGTGATACTATAATTTTTTTTTATTCATGAGGAGTACAACATGTATCGTTTTCTTTTATTAAACTGACAGTGCCGTGGGTGCAGATCTTTATTGCTTTGAAAGCAATGTGCTATTCTAAGCTCTGGTGAGAAGAAAAAACCTGGATTTACTTGAGAGTGGGCATAACCAAGCCACAAAGCTACAAGAAGAAATACTTCACATTCAAGTCCCCTATGTTGGCATCAGATACAGCTCAGATTACACTCACTGCATTATCCTATCAATTTATCCCACAACAGGTTCCTCTGTTTAGAAATTGGGTGGAATTTTATAGCATGCCATCAACAGGTTTTCAGGCATTCAGGCAAAGGAAGCCTTTAAAAATCCTTAGGTGGCTATCCCAGCTTCCTCCTGAAATAAGTGTGGAAACTAACCTCCAACTATTAACACTCCTCGGGCGGTGGTGTGGAAAACTCAACCGCCCATAAATTCTGGCCAGACTAAATCTCCCTCTACACTGTACCCATGTAGTGCTCAACCTCAGAAGAGTATCCAACCCATTGCATCAGCATGACCTTTGTCTATTTCTCACAGTAGACTACAGTAGTCTTTCTGAGTAAAATTATTAGATGTCAGAGGCCTAACTAAAAGGTTCATATGAGAAGGATCTAACACTCAAGGTTGTAATTTAAGTTAGATGGAACATTACAATGTATCACTCACTCACAGCATAGAAGAACAAATTACAATCCCCACAGACAAATCCCACAGTCTGTGATGTAGATACATCCCTCACACATACAGTATCTAAACAGTGATATACCCTTAACATTTGGAATATCATAATTAATGAGAGATTGATGCATTCTTCATGCATACATTACTGCAGCAAGGAGGAGGTGATGTGTCCCATTGTTTCTGAAAGAACATTAAGAACATCACTTTTGAGCATAACCTGACACTTCTTCTGAATTAATAGGGAACATGCAAAGTTCCATCCTAGCTCAGGATATCATTCGTTCATCTATCTGAAAAAAATCAAAAGCGCCTGTAGTACAAGTATATAACTGCACGTTAAGTTAACTGATTATGTTCCAATGTAGCAATATTCATTGAACAACGCACAAGTTACAGATTTTTTTGGTCATTCAGAATTGTTTCAGTTTTAAGGTGTTTTACGCAAAGTGAGTTAGACAGATATAATAGAAGGCACCAAACACACAATAAGGGAATTGGCATTGCAGAAGTAGAGAACATTATTGTTATAGGAAGGACCAATGACTTGCGGGTTAATTCCTTTGTGGCAGCACAGTGTGGAGCTGGAGGAACACAGCAGTTCAGGCAGCATCAGAGGAGCAGGAAAGTTGACGTTTCAGTTGGAACCCTTCTTCAGAAATGGGGAGGGGGAAGGGAGATAAGAAATAAATAGAGACAAGAGGGGTGGGGCTGGGGCAAGGTAGGTGGGATGATGATAGGTGAATGCAGTAGGGAGTGGTGGGTATTGGTCAGGGGAATGGGTGGGGTGGATAGGTAGGAGGGAAGATGGACAGGTTGTGTCAGGTCAAGGAGGTGAGGATGAGAGGAATGTTTGGATGTGGGATGAGGCTGGGGGTGGGAGATTTTAAAACTGGTGAATTCTATGTTAAGGCCATCACGCTGTAGGCTCCCGAGGTGGAATATGAGGTGCTGCTCCTCCAGATTATCACCAAACCCCACATGAAAAATTCAGATTCTTCCCTAATGCATAATATTCACAACTCAGTATGCAATACTGCTGTACCATACTGTACTGCTCAGTGAATGAACAAAATATTATGTAACTCAAAAAGTGAGGCATAGGTTAGAATCAAGCCCCTAAATACTTCAAAATATGGTTTAGAAATGTGACAAATGAATATCTTATAGTCCCAACACAACCTCTAAATTTGATGGTTCCAACAATACTATAAATTCAAAAAGTCACATGTGAACTGAATTGCAACAAACGCTGATCACTTCTTCAGTATTATGCAATCTTGATTTCTCGAAGAAAAGAAAAACATAGATTTCTCATTAGCAAACACACATACTGCAACTTTCAATTGTGTACCATATTCCAATCACCAGTAATGGCATTTCACCATTTCCTTTCTTTCTGTACACATACTTTGACTCAAACACTCCATGCAATGTTTACTACTTCTCTTTCCAATCTTGCTGTATATTACCAGGCACTTGTCTCTGCAGATTACTCCTTTCAGCTGGCTTTCATCCATAACTTTTCATCTCTTTTTATACAACGTGTAATGTGAAGTTTCTTTAACTAACAGCAATAAATCAAAAGTAATTTCACTCACAAATTTTCTTCTGAGATTGACCTTCACTTTCTCCATTTTGCTCTCTGAAGAATCCTGTGAATACTCCAACCAGCCAAGATGCTCATCCACTGAAATACTCTTCTTCATATAGACCGATCTGGATCTGAAGTATGTGAAGGGTGAATCATTGACTTCAGTTCCCAAATTCCATGGGGTGCTCGTATCTTCAGGGATTTCATCCCCATCATCCTCCCTTCTCCAGGTTTTCTCTAATGAGATAATCAATTAAAAAGTCATCAGTGCAACTTCACAGAAACGGGAAAAATGTATTATTTATAACAGCTACTCAGTAAATTGTCTTTTACTATGAGGCAGAACTGCAAAGAATGACTGGTTCATCCAGATAAATTTATTATCTCCCGTACATTGCAAAATGCCACAGGTCTAGAAGTCTTAAATAAAACAAAAAATTCTGCTTGAATATTCATTCCTTCTACCACTGGTACACAGTGGCAGAGCAGTTAGTAATCAGTGATATCATGCAACACTGTCATCTGTTAGTTCCCTTCCAAGCCATACATTATCCAACTTGGATTCTTTGCCAGATGCAGCTAGATTTTTTACACAATCATTCTGTCACATTCAAACTTGCAGTGAATTAATTGAATGAGTCTAGTTGCCACAATATTAGATTCAGTAATAAGCCAAATATAGTTAAGAGCATAATGCTGCATGAATATTTATCTCATGGTGACCAGATCTCGGAACCAAGAAATATAAAGAACAGGTTGGAAAGTAGAGGTAGAATTTCTGCCATGATCATAATGGAAAGTGGAACAGGTTCAGAGACCACATGGTCTACTCTTGCTCCATTTCTTATCTTATCAAGTGCATTACACTCAGTTCTCATTACCCATTGATTTGCTATCCGCATATCCAAGTTTGCGCAAAATCAGCCCCGGATCGCATTCTTTTCCCCCATAGTCTCGTCCAGTCTACCATGGTAAACATCATGCAGTCCTTCATGTAACATACGACAGGTGTTACAAGAGAGGTAACTTTTTTTTATATTCACTAGTGTGACATGGGCCTGAGAAGGTGGTAGTAAGCTGCCTTCTTGAATTGCTGCAGTCCACATGCTGTAGATTGCTCCACAATGCTCTTAGGGAGGAAATTTGATTTTGTCAGCTAGAAACCCCATTGACTGTGAGCATTCATCAAATTCCATCTTCTGTTTTTCACAGCATTGGCCAATAAAGGTGTTTTCTTTCTCCCATTTTATGTATCATATCTGCAGAGTCGCATTGTCTTTTGTGCTGTATTTGTATTTGTTTTGGGATTCACAGGACATATAGCTCTAATTCCAATTGTGGCTTAGTTGTTAACCAGTTTTGTCATTTGTATTTAGAAATGAGGTTTTTTTAGATAAGTTCTAAGTTAATTCGAATTAATTAAAGAAACCTAGTGAAAGTCTCTTTTATTCTGAAACGTAGAAATATATAAGATAGGAGCAGGAGGAGGCCATTCGGCCCTTCAAGCCTGCTCCACCATTCATCACATTCATGGCTGATCATCTAATTCAATAGCCTAATCCTGCTTTCTCCCCATAACCCTTGGTCCCATTTCCCCCAAGTGCTATATCTCGCTGCCTTTTGAATACATTCAATGTTTTGGCATCAACTACTTCCTGTGGTAATGAATTCCACAGGCTCACCACTCTTTGGATGAAGAAATGTCTCCTCATCTCCATCCTAAATGGTCTATCCCGAATCCTCAGACTGTGGCCCCTGGTTCTGGACACACCCACCATCGGGAACATCCTCTCTGCATCTACCCTGTCTCGTTCTGTTAGAATTTTATAAGTCTCTATGAGATTCACCCCTCATTCGTCTGAACTCCAGCGAAAACAATGCTAACCTAGTCAATCTCTCCTCATACGTTAGTCCCGCTATCCCCAGAATCAGCCTGGTAAACCTTCGCTGCACTCCCTCCAGAGCAAGAGCATCCTTCCTCAGAAAAGGAGACCAAAACTGCACATTGAAGAACAGTATCACAAGGGATACAATTGGCCAGTCTGGTAATTAAATCAAAAAATATTTCTATTGATGGTTCAACTCATGGAATAAAATGTGATTACTAGTACATTCCTATTTTAGTTGAACTAAACCTGGACGTTAATAGTCAAATACAACCAAGACCGTCTGAACATCAGCATTTGTAATTTTTATGTCTTTTTAAAAATATTCTGCTTTTCCTTTTACACTTGCATTATATTCTATTTACCATCTTGTTGCCCACTTTACACTTTATCACTTTACAACCATTTTGTGTTATTCTCATAGCTTGCATTCCCACCTAGCTCTGTATCATTAGCAAACTTAGATACAATAGGTATTTTCTAATCAACCTGATCAAAGATGATATTATACACCTCTGTGAAAGGTGGGACTTGAACCCGGACCTCTTGGCTCAGAAGTAGGTAGGTCCAGAGTCCGTGGCCTGGGCAGTTGGGGGTGGTGAGGGGTGCAGGAAGAGCTCGTGGTGCAAGGCATGGTTAAGAATGATGCAGACCGGGGATGGGAGTGATGGGCAGTGGTGGGGTGACCGGATAAGGAGAGTGTCATAGGCCAAGACACGGGTGATGGGGCAGGGGACAGGGGGAGGTCATCAGAGAAGGGAGGGTTGGGGCTTCCCTGGTTCCATGTCGTCAACTCCTCTCACATCTTCAAGCCCTCCCCACACACACTCTCTCTCTCTCCCCATATCCTCACTTCCCTGCACCCCCCTCGTCCTCACTTCCCCATTCTCCCTCATGCTCATTCCCCGCCTCTACACCCACACTCCACACCTTTGAACTCCATTTCAAAATAATTTCTTCTATGCACATGTGCTGTGCTGCCTTTTGCAATGACTTTGCATGTAAATTTTACATGATGACGTAATGGGTCTGAGATCGTGGACGTGCACAAATTGATGCACATGCATAGTGGCAAGTGTCAGCAGATACTACAGCCTTGGTTCAGAAAGGGACAAAGGAGCTGAATTCTAAAGGTGAAACAAGACAATTGAGGTGCCAGCACTGCCCTAAAAAGGAACTTCACCAGTTTAACCCTCCCAACGTCAAAATGACCGACTTATCTTCTTTTCCATTAATCAATCCAACATCCATGCTTATATGTCACCAAGTCCACAAGCCCTTATCTTGCAGATTTAAAATGTCACCTCTTCTTTACACTTACAAAACCTTTAGTTCTATCAGGACAGTGGCTTGAGAGGAATTCAGGGATTTACATATACATATTAATCAATTAACAGCTTCTAACTGATTAAAGATTTACCAGCATCTTAAGATCTGTTTAGTACATCCTCATCAGTGGTGTAACACCTTGATCTTTTACTTATAAGTTCTGTGTCTGATATTATCTCTGTCGCTAACACCTGAAGGAGGAGTGAGGCTTCAAAAGCTTGTGTTTTCAAATAAACCTGTTGGACTATAACCTGGTATCATGTGATTTCTGACCTTGTCCACCCCAGTCCAATGCCGGCACCTCCACATCAAACCCTTTGTATGACACAATTTTGGAAGTCCGAGTCTACTGTGCCCTTTTACCTACTGTACTAGTCACATCTTCAAAACTTTCTCATATTTGTCAATTCCAATTTCCTATTTGTAAAACCATATTAACTTTGATTGAGCATACTATGATTTTCCCAATTTATGGTTAACACTTCCTTAATAATAGATTCTAGAAATTTCCTGACATCAGATATCACGTTATATAACCTGTGGTTTCCAGTTTTCTCTCGTCCTCAGATTCTGAATGACCATGTTACATTTGCAAAAAACAGCAAAAACAGACAAATAGGGAGAGCTATAAAAATGTGTAATGGATATTAAAATCAATAGCAAAATATTTCAACACATTACGAAGAAGACGGTGAAAAGGGAACAATATTAAAACTGATAGCTGTAATATTGTCAATGAAAATAATGAAATGCCAACATGTTGAATAAACATTTTTGTATCAATATTTACAATGGAGGGGTCTGGATGCCAGACATTCCAAGGAAATTAATATTGAATCAGGTTCAGGGACTTGCCCAAAGTAATATAACATTAAAATAATTGCACTTAAGAGTGACAACTCGTCAGAACGAGATGTCTCAAATACTCTGGCATCTAATGTTACTCTCAGGAGACTCCTAGCTCCCTTTCATCTTGAACATATTTGCAATGGCCCTGACATCGAAGTACAATTCTGATTGTGTTACCAGAACAATAAATAGAAATGCTGATTATTAATTGTTAATTATTCTCAGGCCTTAATGTGAATTTTCTTCTGTTCGTTAATATCTTTTTCTATTATGGAATATGGGTGTCACTGACAAAACTGAATTTGTTATCCAACCTAGTTGCCCTTGAACTGGGCCATTTGTAAGGGCAGTTAAGAGTTAACTACACCACTGTGGCTCTATAGTTGCACATAGGCCAGACCACACAAGGATGGCAGGTTTCCTTCCCTATAGGATGTTAGTGAATCCAATGGGTTTTGATGACAATCAACAAAGGTTACATGGTTGCCACTCTTTAATTTCAGGTTTTTAAAATAAGATTTAAATTTCACAATTTGCCCTAGTGGGATTTGACCCCATGCCCTCAGAACATGAGCCCAATTCTCTATGAGTCCAACTACATTACCACAACACTACTATCTTCCCTACAGAAACTGACAGAGTTAGGGTTGCCAGCTGTGGTTAAATCTATTCATGGATGTTTTATTACATCACTTGCCCTCATACTCCAGCCATTAGTCAGCCAGTGCATCCATTTTTTCTGAAGATTAGCCTCATACACCAATGGATAAGCAAACCAACTCATTAACTCAACTAGATAATTCTTGACTATCAACCAAGCAGCTATTTTTTTCTTATTTTCAGTTATGTTTGTATCAGTAAAGAATTTTTTTTTTAAAAATTACAATGGAATTAATCTTTCTTTAAGGTCTTTGTGATTTTTCTCTTGGGTTGCAATGTGACCTGCAGTGCAGTCCTGGAAGATTGGCAATGTTACGTAGAGCTCATTTTGCGTTCATTTATCCATGGGCTGATTTTATGGAGGCTAAGTGGGGTGGTGCAAAGGGACAGAGGAATATTTCCGAAATTGCCCACAGCTCACAGGGCACCTTCAACTCTGAATGAAGAGTCACCCCCTTGACCACCTGTTCATGCCAATCACATTACACCACAGACAACACAGAATCTAGCTTA